CACCATTAGCATTTACTTCTGAAAAAGTCTACTGGAGCCGCCCTTGTCTTGAGAAGGCGAACATCACGTGTTTAGAAACCTGTAGGGGGATGTGTCATGAGATTGGATAAAGTTGTTGATGGAATATGAATGTACTTGGAAAAGAGACAAGCAGAACCAGCAAGCAAAGTGGCCTGAGCAGAGCAGGTAGAGTTACTAGTAGGGGATAAAGGGGAGACAAAATACAAGGCACAGGGCATTTTCACCTTTTTGACAGTTTTTCCTGGTGCCCTTGAGGGAATATGAGGCTCCCTGAATTGATCTTTCCTGAATACCTTTGACGTCCTGCTTTGTTTCCCAATAGGAACTGTGCATAACTTCCACTGGCCTTTTGTCAGTGTTCGTGTTATGCCTTCAGCTCGAGTGTCCAAAATTACACGTTTACAAAAGCCTTGCAGACAACTTTGGAAAGACGCATAAGTTTGGTTTTGTGTCTCCCATTTTATAGGCCTGGTCTGTATCCTTACAATCTATACTTTTTCTAAGAAATCTTGGTCCTCTGTCATTCTGGACTAAAAATGCAGAAAAGAAAGAGTTGTCATATGCCTTGGATCCAACAGAACCAGTAATAATGTTGACTTCAGCACTGAACTGGGTTCCTACCAGAAGGGTTGCCTTTGGTCATCATTTAGGGGGTGGGGAAGCCATCATATGCTTTGATTTTAATGGATGTTTATAAGGTCATGGGGATCATATTGGTAGCTTTGTCTGCCTGGTTAAGAAATGAGACTCTAGGGGCCTTGATGCATGGGGAGAAAGTGATTCGTGTCTACAAGCCACCCAGGAACCATCCCTCACTCCCTCCTCACCACCTAAAGACAGGAGTCCTGTGAGGGCTGTTGCTTAGAGCCGTGACACCAAGGGTCTAGTGTGTTGTCTCTTAACTGTGGGACTGAAAACAAATCATATCTCCGTCTGTTTTCTGTGATATGCTTCCAAGAAATCTGCCAGGGCCTGCTGCTTTCCTCATTGCCACAGTGAAGGGAAGGATCATGTGCAGCATGTGGCCTGAGCTCAGAGCTTGCTGTCCCCAAGATCATAGAGAGTGGGAAAGGGCATGTGTGTGAAGCAGGAAATTTTGTTTAGAATGATCTGGAACTTCAGTAGGTGGCATTGAAAGGGAGCATCACTCCAGAGGGGTGAACTCACTGGTCTATAGTGAGGCCCCTAAGATTGAGCCGAAAACCCCCAGCATAGGCAAGACAGAGCCTCGACAACAGCACCTGCTGGCCCAGGGGACCCAATGAAGGCAGCTGTGTGGCAGTGAGGAGGCCCTGAAGTGCACCTTTCTGTGGAGGCAATGTGAGCTGGGTCATAGATGTGCAGGCCTCACCTCACTGATGCGTGGGGAAAGCAGATGCTGTTACAGCAACACCGAGCACTCCTGTGTGACACAGCCACCTTTCCGTGGATTGACTAGTGTTCTCACTGCTCAGCCAGACTGCTGCAGGGAAGTGTTGCAAGTTCTCACCTCGAAATCCACAGCATGGAGCTGCATGGCCTCTGCCAAGGTAGTGGTTCATTGAGATCCATTGAGAAAGGATGGTGAGGAAGGGACTCTGTTTGAGACAGCAGTGTCAGTCCACTCTCCTGCCCCAGCCCTGGAGACAGCAAGGGGAACTTGCCCTGCTCAGTAGGCAGCGTCCTGAAATATCCAGTGTGATGAGCATTGGTGGCTGTCCAGCAGTAGAACTGGCCTAGGAAAGGGGCACCTGCTGTAGCAAATCAGTTCCACCAGTCATGGGACATCACCTGGGCCCCTGAGTGAGAGTTCTGGGGTGTGTTTTCTTGTGGAGGGCCCATCAGTTTCTGGAATTAGAATTGACTGAGGATCATTTGCATGGATACGGTTGGTGGGCGCCTGCATACAAGCTGTCGTTTAGGAGAGTTGCAACAGCCTGTCCTTTGCCAATGGCCGCTAATATCACCTGTAGCATCTAATGGCCATGCTCTGCTTTTCTCACCCTCTGCCACCTTAGCCCCAGCCAGTTCATGACAGACCAGCAGTTACAGAATATGTCAGCAAATTTCAAAGACTCACCCCTTACACTTCCAGCCCTCTTCTTTCTCCCACCGCTACCCTACCCTTCAGCTGTCTGATTTTAGGTAGACCTCATTATCATTAGACCTGTCTTGCAGTTCATGATATCATAAACAACATTTGGGCACTATCATTGCCAGCCCAGACTCCCTGCTGGAAATTCTTATGTAAAACCCATGCTTGCTCAGTCCTAATTGAAATCCATTTTCATTTGGGACTGGCACTGTGGTGCAGTGGGTTAAAAGCCCAAGCCTACAGTGCCGACATCCCATAGGGGTGCCAGTTTGAGTCCTGGCTACTCCATTTCTGAACCACCTCTCTGCTATGGCCTGGGAAAACAGCAGAAGATGGCCCAAGTGCTTCCACCCCTGCACCCACATGGGAGACTGAGAAAAAGCTCCTGGCTCCTGGCTTTGGATTGGCTCAGCTCCAGCCATTGCAGCCATCTGGGGAGTGAACCAGTGGATGGAAGACCTCTCTATCTCTGTCTCTACCTCTCTCTGTAACTCTGTCTTTCAGATAAATTTTTTTAAAAAATACATACATTTTCATTTGTAATGTTTTGTATTACTTTGGGTTCTTTGGAAGAATATAGAAGAGAAGTTCAAATTTCAGTTAGGGACCCAGTGACTTGTTTGTGAGCTGCTCTGTAATTGATTGCATAGATGGTTAAGCTCCCTGCTTGCTGCGTTGTTTTTGTCCACTTGTCCATTGATTCATTCAGTTACTGTTTACTAAGCACCTGCTGGAGCCAAATACTGAGTGGCCTGCTCCCAGGCCAACTAGGGGACACCATGGGTTCTGTGTCCCGCCTGGTTCCTGGATGGTGACGTAAGCACAGAAGACTGGCTAGCCCTTGTCTTGTGCCTCTACCCCACCCCAGCCCATTCCTGCCTGACCTGGCATATTCAGACCTCAGGTAAATTTGGTGGCAGAGCTGTCTCTTAAAGTGTCCTTATTCAAGTTCTAGGTATATAAAAACAGTCAGAGAAGTTTGTAAGTTCTCTCAGTCAACATGGTGAGAGGGGGATAATGCAGTGTGCTGCCACTGGGGTAGATAAAAGAAGCTGAGTGGTCATGGCAGAGTCCTGCCTCTGGATTGGACTTCTCACCCTGTGACTGAACAACTCTGGGTGAGCCTTGCCCCCCTTGGGCCCCAGGGTCCCTGTCATTAATAGGAGGGCATTCAGTTCCCAGGACCCTTGCAGAATTGCCTTTTAGGCGCTACCAGACACCACACAGTCTGCCCCATTTCACTCAATGGCCAGAGCAGCAGCATGAGATAAGACCTGGAATTCCACTCCTTTTACCCATGAAGAAGCTGGATTCAGAGAAGTTAAGTGGCAAGGCCAAGACTTAGTTGCATCTGCCTTGGGCCCAGGCCCCATGCCAGCCTGCCTCCACTCATGCTCTGGGCCAGTGCTTTTCAACCTGCCTGCCCATTTAGAATCAGCCATAAAACTGTATAAACTCTTGACATGTCAGCCTCACCCTGAGAGAGACTAAGACAATTGATTTGTGGTGGGAGGGCCTGGATAGCTGGATGTTTCTAAGTGATTCTGATGTACAGCAAAGCCTAAGATACAGTCCTGCGGGATCTACTTTGATGCTCACTGGGCCATCGGAGTCATGACCCCTGGTGCTAGCAACAGCCCCACACATGCCTTGCCCTCCCATTGAGCTACAAGTTCATGAAACCAGAAAGGCCAAACATGAACAGCATAGGAGCAGTGCTGTGTGTCCTAGGAGACCTCAAAAGCTGAAAAAGGTCTCTTATGCAAAGCAACCCTTTAAGAGAATTTCATCTGTTCACCTGTCAGCATTCAGGGGAATTCCAAGTTCCTCTCTTCCTTTCCTTACTGTGATCATTTCCATACATTTTCCTGCACCCAAACCCTTTGCACCTTTGCCTGTTGACATGCAAGTCGTGATCAACATGACAGTCACGACCATATGTGTATGAAGCTGTGAAAGAGTGCGAAACACGGCATCACTTGGTTCCCAAGCTTTGCTTTCATAAATGGTGGGCAGCTCTCCCAAGGTGCAGATCCCACACTGGGGCCTTTTCCTGTTGTTGATATCTCTGCAACCTGAGGATGCATCTGCAGAGAGGAATTTCTTATTTAGACGACTTTAGACTTTTTTTTGGCATTACGAGCTCCTCTCCTTAAAAACAAATAAGCAATACAGACCTGTAGAGAATAGAAAGCGAATTTTCAGTCATCCCCAAAAGGTGAGTGCTCCAAATCATTGTATATAGGTCCTTCCAAGTTATTTTTGTATGCACACAAGCAGTGTGTGTGTGTGTGTGTGTGTAAAACTAAATAGAACCACATCTGTGATGCCTACAATGACTATTTTGAAACTGGTACGTTTCCCTAAATAATCTATCAGACAGCTGCCCCAAAGAACACACCCAGGTCAGCTTCATTCCTGTAGTCGTATTCTATTTTATCATCGCAGCTTGGTGCATTTTAACCAAGACAGAGAGACAACCTAACAGTTCAATGTCTATGTTACGGCTTTCCTTTTTTAAAATTGTGGTATCTGTACACAGGTGGGAGTAGAAAATATTGAGTCACTTCAGATTTGTTCTCAAATGCCTGCTTTTGGCAGCACAGTGGTTTTAGTGGTGTGTGCATGGTTTGCTTGAACTCTCCTTTCAGTAAGCAAAGAATACTCTTTGCATGACTATACAGACAGCATAATGCCTAATTTGAAATGAAACAAGACAGTTTAAATGAAAAGCACCAACAAAGAAACAGCATTATGCTTCCAAAAATAAACTATTTTACGGTTTTGACGACTGTGAGTCTTTAAAGCAGGAGATCCATTTTACCTTGCCGATTTCCTGTTCGTTCACTGTATAAAAATTCCTCTCTCTCTCTCTCTTTCTCTCTCTTTCATTCTTCTTTTTCAGTCACAGGGAGCCATTAAAAGGAGGCAAGAAAGAGATCACTTCCAGTTTCCAGGCATGGCTGATGGAGGTTATCCTAATAAGATTAAGAGGCCCTGCCTTGAAGATGTCACCCTTTCTGTGGGCTCAGGAGGCCATCCTAGTACTTCCTGTGCAGAGCTGCAGATGCCTCCGTTAACAATGAACCCTAGCCCTGAGACTATGGGAGTAGCTGGCCACTCCTTACTACCTGAGAATAACCCTATGAATGGCAGTGTTATGGATGCCCCATTTGTGGTGCCACCAACTACGGAGATGGGGGTGAAAGGGCCCACTGTCCCTTACTATGAGAAAGTCAACAGCACTCCAGCTGTGGACCAGGAACTTCAAGAACTACTGGAGGAACTAACGAAAATTCAGGAGCCTTCTCCAAGTGAGCTAGATCTTGAGAAGATACTGGGCAGCAAGCCAGAAGAGCCACTGGTCTTAGACAATCTACCAGCAACCCTAGGCACCACTCCCAAAATTTCAGTCCACCACATGCCACACATGGAGAGCCTGGGTTCCAGCAAGGAGTTTGCTTCTAGCTGCAGCCAAGTCACTGGTGCGCCCTTTCCAATCCCGCCCTCCTCCACAGGGGTCAGCTATTCGATTCCTTCCAGTCGTAAGCAGATGGTCTCACCCAGTTCCTCGACAGCGCAGGCCAAGAACCAGGGCCAGGCCATGCTCCCTGTTAGTCTGCCGCCCCTACCAGCGCCCCAGTGGCATCATGCCCACCAGCTGAAGGCGCTGGCAGCCAGCAAGCAGGGATCTGCTACAAAGCATCAAGGGTCCTCCCCTACGTGGTCTGGCCTGCCTCCTCCAGGCATCTCCCCACCTTACCGCCCAGTCCCAACGCCACACCCACCACCGCCTCCACCTCCGCCTGCATTCAGCCCTCAGAGCCTCATGGTGTCGTGCATGGCACCCCACAGCTTGCCGGGTAGCAGCCTGCAAGGCTCTCCCAATGCCTTACTCTCCAGCATGGCACCCAACAGCAGTGGTGCCCTGGGGCCTGCCTTGCCCTATGCTACTGAGAAGCTCCCCAGCACGGCTCTCAGTCAGCAGTCGCAGTTCAGCCCACAGAGCTCCATTCTCGCCAACCTGGTGTCATCGACCATCAAAAGCCCTCAGGGACACCTGATGTCTGCTCTGCCCACCAACACCCCAGGCCCATCCCCACCCTATCGCCCAGAGAAGCTGGCCAGCCCAGGCTTGCCGCAGCAGTCCTTCACGCCACAGTGCTCCCGGATCCGGAGCCTGACACCCACCAGCCATCTGCCGAGCCAGCAGCCGCCAGCCAACCCCATCTTTAAGCCTGTGACCAGCAGCTCATCCAAAACCCTGAACGTGGGCATGCAGCAAGGGATGGTCAGCGCCAGCCCGGCAGCCCCCGAGCCATTCACTTTCGGCAACACCAAGCCCTTGTCCCACTTTGTCTCTGAGCCAGGCCCCCAGAAGGTACCCCCCATGCCTGCCACCTCCAGGCAGCCTTCCCTGCTCCACTACCTGCCCCAGACAACAGCAGCACAGGCCTCTGCTGTCACTGCCTCCTCCAGCACCACTGTTACCTTGCAGCCGCAGCCGCAGCCGCAGCCGCCGCCGCCGCCACCTGACTCCTCTCCATTCCTGCTGCGGCAGGTGGTGCAGCAGCCACAGCGCTTTCGGCGCTCAGTGGCTGCAGACTCCGTGCCTGCTCTGCCCACACAGGTAAGACAACCTCGCATCCCGGGAGGCCCTTTGTTTTAGAATGAAAACTGCGTTGTATGCTATCACCACCTGGCTTTGGAGGGCAAAGCCAGTTGTGGTCTCCTCTGAGATTGGACTTGATTCTGGAAAAGTCTATGTATGTGAAAGCACAGTGTTCCATGCCTGTCCGGATCACCTAACTCCCCTGGGAGGAAAGCTGCACCCATGAGGTATCCCCAGGGGTTCAGCCAGGGGGACAAGTCAGAACTGCATGGCACTCAGTCATCCTGCCAGGACCAAGTGGCGAGACTAGCACAGGCTTCGTAAGACACAGGAAACTGCTGCGAAGCATTCCCATCTGGTCTCTGCTGCCAGCAGGCTGGACCCTGAGCCTTGTAGCACACTCGCACAGCCGCCTAGCATGCCGTTCACCTCTGTGCTGCACTGAGGCAGGTCCCGAGAAGAAAAAAAGAAGTGCTTCTTAGATGATCGCTCTTAGCTCCACCTTACAAACAAAGCCCGAGAGGCTCAGTGTCGCAGTGACTTGCCCAGAGTCACACAGTTAGCCAGGGCCACAGCAGGGACTTCACACCAGGCAGTCTCACTCCAGAGCCTGTGCTCATCCCCAGATCCCTTCTGACTTCTGCTTCTTCATCCCCTCTGGCTTTTTCATCGCTCAAGGCAGCCGATTCTCTGGGCGAAGTCTGTGGCCATTCCCACTTCTCACGGTTCTGATCGCTACCTGTCTTCTTTAACTACTGCTGCATAACAAAACCCAAACATCAGCTTCAGCCCACATGTATGTGACCTTGCAGTTTCTGTGAGTCCAGAGTCCTGGCATGGCGTAGCCAGCTCTTCTGGCTCAGGAGCTCTCATAAGGCTGCAGTCGCTCCCTGACTCCAAGGGAGGCCCGGCTCCCAAGCCCTCTCACGTGGATGGTTGGCAGGAAGCAATTGCTTGCAGGTTGCTGGGAGGAGGCCTCAGTTCCTCATGCAATGCTGACCACATGGCCTCATCGTAGAACATCTCAGTACAAAGCAGCTGGCTTCATCCAAGTGAGCAAGAGAAAGTGTTCCACCAAGGCAGGGCTGAGGCACGGAGTGCCAGCAAGTCAGAAATCACAGGCTTTCTGCCTAGTCTGCAAAACAGCATCCCACCACGTTTGCTGGATTCTGTTCAGTAGATGTCAGCCAGAGAGCAGTACCTGAAGATGTGAGCACCAGGAGGCAGGGCTCTGCAGGGGGCCATGTCAAGTGTCTGCCTGCACAGAATACTGGTGGTCATATCACTCCTTTCCTTTGCTCTCCTCCCTGCCCAAATTCAGGCCCTCTTCCTTCTTTATCTGAGCTCATACAGTTGACCCCTAACTGGTTTCCACCAACAAACCATCCAAAACTCCAAGACTTGCCTCGCTAAGACAGTGATCCGATCATGTTGCCCATTGGCTCGGAAACTCTCATAGGCCCCACCAACCTCCTCACGCTCTGTCCATCAATCCCTGCCTTGCACTTCATTTCTATACCCTTAAAGTGCTTGCAGCATGTGGCCCATTGTGTGTGGCTTCGCCTTTGCTCCTGCCACTGCCTATGCCTGGCCTTCCCTCCCTCCTTTTTCTAACTCCTGAAGCTCCTCCAGGCTCAGGCACCACCTGCTCCCAGAAACTTTCCCCTGACCATCCTAGGGGCTTCTCTTTCCTGCTGTGCTTCTCTTTCTCCTGTGGAGGAGATGTCTGGAAAATGCTTGGCCCAGCACCTGGTACACGGAAAGCACGTGTGTCAGGTGCTGACTTCTTATTCGAGGGCCCTATAGGAGTGTGACCATGGCAACCCCCAGGGGATAGACATCATTTCTTTTCCATCCAAGTACCAGGGAACCTCAGCGGATAGCATGCTTGACACTCGGTGATTGGTCATTTGATGGATGTATACAGCAAACAGAGCTCCTGGGGGTGGGGGTGCTGGGGTGAGTGGCCGGGAGACAAACAAACCAGGACAGAGCAGGCAGGCCACCTCGGGGTGTGGGCCCTTGTCTGCAGTTCAGGAGCACTTTGGTTTGATTCTATTATAGGGCTGTTCCCAACAGTTTACATGGACTTCTGCAGCTAGCTCGGTGGAGCACCAGCATCAACACTGGAACTCTTTCACTAGCAGGCAAGAACCTCAGCCTGGAGACCTGTCAACACCTAACATTGTGAGCTTTCTGTTTTGTTTTGTTTCATCTTCAAATGGGTACATTCGTAGTCTCACTGTGCTGCACCAGAGCCACATTAGTTGCTCAGAGGGAGAAAGCTTAACGATTGGGGTCACGAAAACCACAGCCAGCCAATTACCTGGGGCGGGGGGGGGGGTGGTTAGAGAAAGAGCAAGGCCAGAAGCATGGTAAGGGCTTCATGGGATCTCCGCCAACAGACAGGATGCCACTGCCGGCAAGTGCTGCCTTCCCAGCCAGTGCTAGCCTGCGCCCAGGGGACTCAGTATTCAACTGCCTTTTCACAGTGATATCCTCAGGGGTAGGGGCTGTTATCATTGCCTTTAATGTTGAGAAGAAAGGCACAGAGAAGTCACCACAGCTGCCTGCAGTCACACAGCAAGTCAGCGCCAGAGCAGGGAGTCCTGCTACTCCTACTTCCTTGCATGGAGCGCTGCCCGCAGAACTTTCTATTCCTACCTTAGGCTCTTTACTGCTTCTTTCTCTGCAGAGTGACGGTGGTGAGAGGTTGTTTGAGGAGTAAATGTGTGAATACATCTAAAGAGCTTTGGACAGGGCTTGGCACACTGGGTTTGCTCTCACAATGACTGTAGCTGCTGACCCTGAGCCCAGGCCTGTCTTCTGGGGCTACAGAGATCTGTCTGTTCAAAGCCAGGAGCTGTGTCAACACAGGACATGAGCAGCATCCTCTCCAGACCTCTTTTCTGCCATGCCATGAGGGTAGCAACAGTTGTAGGGCCTGTGAGGTCTGCGGGCTCTTCCTGTTCTAGACCTTGCCCCTCCCAGACAACTCCCAGCCTGGTAGAAAAGGGAGCAGGGCCACGTTCACATTGCAGGCTGGAACTCTCAGCTCTCATAACACCCTGTCCCCAACAGTCTGTTCTCTACATGGCTGACCAAGCCACTAAGCTCTGCTCCCTTCTCACAGCCTCTCTCTGTGAGCTCTAAGGCATAAGAACTCGGCTCTGGGGTGAGAATACAAGCTAGAAAGAGGTGAATATTTGCGGCAAGAGCTGATAACCCTGTGGCAGGACAGGTAGCTGCCCCAAGGTGGAGCCATGCAAGCAGGGCCATGGCACTTCCTGTGAATGAGTGTGGCTACCATGGAAACACTGGATGTTTATTCGAATCTGGAGCTTAGTTTGATAAAGGAATAGTTTCTAAATGTGAAATGAGATGCAAACTCTTGTATAAGCAGAAATGCCAAATCCAGCTGTCTACAGGAGCTTGTGGTTATTTGCAGAGTAGTATTTCTCAAGTTGTAGGATTTCATTTTTACCAGATGTGTGGATGATCAAATTTCAATGGAATGTTTGCTTCCTCTTAAGGTAAAAGGTAAATGCCACCAGGCTTCCAGGTGGCAGTTCACCATGGTAGGTTGGGCAAGGACAGTGGAGGCAGACTGATCTGAGGTTCAAGTCTGGTCGTGGACGCTGACTGAGATGGTGCCATGAATAAAGTTGGTTACCCTCTTTGAGCGTCCACTGACAACGAGGAAGGACCAATTCCTATGGCATAAGGCACTGAGGAGACAAAGGAGATGATAACCTGAGACTGCCTAGAACAGTGCCAGGCACGTGCTGTCTGTTCAGTCAGGGCTAGTGTGGGCTTGTGACTCTGCTTCTGAAAGCCCTGCAGCCAGATGCCTTTCCAAGACTTGAGAAAGAGAATATGGTTCAAATGCCAAATATCACACAACCCTCCAGTGGAATCTGGGGCAGCATTTTGTTATTTTTGCAGCTAAATATGAATATTTCTCAAAGTGCAGGTCAAACTTTGCCCCCAAATAAAATTTGGCAACCAATTTATACAATTAAGCTGTCAGAGCTTCTTGACCTTGAACTTACAAATAAGTTCAAGTGGATCTGAAATTATTAAGGGTGGGACCTTGAACTCTTTTTGGTGTCGTGGCATCCAGCCCTGGTTTATTAGATTTTAATGACCCCAAACCGCCTCCAGCTTATGCCCAGGCTGGTGACATATCTTAGTTTTAATGGAAGTGAGACAAAATAAATGTTGCTGCCATGAATCCAGTGCTCTTTCTTGCCCTGAAGACCACAGGGGATACCCTAGTGTGGTGCAAAACTTAGGGCTAGGACTTACCTCAATTTTATGATTAACCACTAGAGAATGGAACTAACATTTACTGAAAGACAAAAGTCCATGCAGGAGGTGGGCATGTGCTGTGGGAGAGTGAGGCTCACAAGACGCAACCTCACCGCTCCCCCCGCCCAGTGCCCTTGCTGCACATGCCTTGGAGCCCCACTGCATTTGCAGAGCTGGGAGTGCAGCTTCACGGGAAGAGGGAGTGGATGCTGGCCAGTTGGAATCAGAACAAAAAAGCCTGTAATCTGATCCTTGAGGCAGGCAGTAAGCACAGCACAGGGGGAAAGGGGCAGCTGCAGAGGAACAGACCAAGAGGCACATGATGTTGTTTTGACAAATTCTGAGAGCAGAGGAGAATCCAGCCTGCCTTGGGAAAGGCTGCATTAAGCTATTGGGAAAACTACACTTTTGACCTTCAGCAAGAAACCACCCATCCCTTTAGCTTAGGCAACAGTGAGTACCCAACAGTTGTGGAGACAGTGACCACGCCATCTGCTCTCTCCAAGGGCGGGGCCTTTGATGGAGATCTAGGAATCTCCATCTGAGGTGGAGCCTTGGGGAAGCCCCTGTCCACCCCAACCTGTGGTCCTTTCTCCTGCCCAGCAAATTGAGCCTTCCCAAGTACAGCACTCCCCGCATCCTGGCCTGAAGGGAGACAACACAGGACAGGGACACCATGGTGTTGGTAGAGGGCAAGTGCTAGAACTGGTCTCAAGTCCAAGTTCAGAGATCCCAGGCTTTTGATTACTTGGATCCAAATCCTAGGTCTGCCATGTTTTTACTTTTTCAGCCTCTCCAAACCTCCGTCCTGCCACCTGTAAAGTGGAGATACTAGTATCCCTGTCCCATTGGGGGTTCTGTGAGGATTAAATGAGGTGAAGTAAAAGCACTTGGCACACAATAATGGCCCATCAATGCTAGCTGCCACTGTTTCAGGAATGTTCTAGAAACTTGCAATACTAATAACCCAACAGAATGAGTCTTGATTGCATACGGGTTCCTCTTTGACTCCCAAGAAAGGGCAGCAGACTTGGAGAGGAGGAGCAGGAGGGTACTCAAGCGGGGTGCTCTCATGGCGGTAGTGTCAGGCAGGACTTTTGCTAGGTGGCCAAAGAGGTTGAAGACCCCAGAAGGGAGGAGAGTAGCTCACCAGCCCACAGCTTCCAAAAGTACCCTTGGCTAGTGGGGATGGGCCAGTGTTGGCTTCTCCTCCCTCCAAACCCAGATGGCTTACATACTAGGAGCCATATGGGTGCTGACTAACAAAGATGACCGCAGGGTAGCTTTAGGTAGGCAGGGTGAAGAAGGAGTGGCCCAGTTCTATCTGCAGCCAACTTGGATCTGACCCCAGTGGCTTATAGCAGGCCAGAGGCCACACCCCCATTTCAAGATCCAGACACAAGTCCTACCACTGCTAAAAAATGACAATGAATAGAACAAACGGTATGTACATGAATGACAGACTGAGGGCTGGACTTGTCAGTGTGCTCAGCACCAAGGCCACCAGGAGCACTGGTCTGGCTTGGCCATGGCCCTGGGGCTTGGCATTCCGTGTGGACTTTAACTGAGAAGCCACATGGATGCCATAGTGTGCAAAACAGCCATCCCAAAAAGGGAAAGGCCTCATGTCTCTTTCTCTCCCTTCCCTCCCTCTTCTCCAGCACTCACCCAACCCCTAGAGCCTCCACAAGGACGCTTTGCAGATTCCTTTTGGTTTGAACTTCCAAGGCTGCGCTAGCCTGCTTAGTAGAGCATGACCTTTTACTACTGCTGTCTCAATTAGCACTGCAAATGAAATTCCTTATGTTTGAACCACAGCCTCCCTTTGGCAACAAAAATGATCAAACCAGGTTAGTGAGGCCAAAAGAATTCCCTGTCTGGTCGAATTCACACCAGCTCAAATTTTCAACTAGATTCCACAGAGATGGCAAGTGAACCTTTCTCTATTCTTGGGATTACTCATAAGGAGTTTTAGAAAGTGATCTTGACCTTGACTCTCCTTCCTTTCGCCTCCCCCCCCCAAGAAAAATCAGATGCACTACGTGTTGTTGATGAAAGACCTGCCACCTTGGACTTACAAGTGCTTCCCTCTTTGTGAGGGTCAGGGTCGGGGGAGGGCAGCAGTGCTGGCCATGTTCAGAGAACTCTCTTTACATGTAGTCTTACACTACTTCTGAGAAGCGTCCCTCATTCCATCTCAAAGGTTTGTTTTACTGAAATGCAATAGTGGGGCTCTCTGGACAAAGCTCTGGGCTGCCTTTCAGTCAGCTGACAACTAAAGGAATTGCCAGATGATGGACAGGACGCCAGCAAGTGCAGTTACAATGAGCCTATGGGCCACGTCCATGGCTTGCCCGGTACACATCTTCCCTACTGGACATGGGACCGTTTTTCTGGATGAGCCATCTCACTTTGTTTTTAGACAGGTTCTAAATATGGGCTTGGTTTTTCCTCCTTTCTAAATTGGGGTGCAATGCACTATTTAGTTCAGGGAAACTTTGGGGAGGGGCTGCTTTAGGAGGAACCATGATTAGGCACAGCGCAGCACACATTTTGAAAACTTAGAAATGGAGATCTCAGTTTTGAGGAACTTTTGTTTTCACCTCTGTGAATTTCCAGGAAGTGCAACATCATAGGCTGTTGAATTGGAGAAATAGAACCCAGCATTTTTCAGTTTCCTTTTTGCTTTCTGAATGTCACTAATGATCCTCCACCTCAGAGCTATGCTCCTTTTTCAGAAAGTGGAAATTTAAAATGAGCTGCTTGTCAAATGCCAACCTTTTAAATGCCGATCTTTTTTTTTTCTGTCAGCAGTGTTGAAGAATGAGTGAGGTGATGCATTGCAATGCACGTGACTTCACATTGTGCCCCCAGAG